AGGGCTGCGCTGAGCGGAGGAGTGGCGCCCAGGCCGGCCTGTGCCCGCTGTGCCCGGGCACCCACGGCCCGTGTCTGTGAGCCCCTGGGCTCCCAGCGGCCGGGCCCTGCTCGCCCAGCCAGCCCAGGGGTGGCCCGAAGCTCCCGTGTGCCTTTAGAGCTCTCGGCATCCTCACGGAGCTCTCTGGCACCTTCCTCCTCCTCTCCCGCGGCCTCCCCAGGCTCCTCGCCTTCACCTCTGCCTGTATTTTGTTTTCTCTGTATTCAAAACACGCCGCTTCCTCCTCCGGGTCGTCAGGCAGGGCACCGGGGAGGCGAGTCCCTCGTGGCTGGGCTCAGCGCCTGCTCCCTGCCCGACCCAACAAAAGGCACAATTACAGGGAAATGGTGGCTTCTCCTCCAGCGCTCCCTCCCCTTGGCGCGAGGCAGGAGCAGTTCAAACACCAACGTGTCCGGTTGAAGGCTGGCGTGTGCTTAATGAACATTAATTCTTCTTTTTGATGTTTCAGCTACCAAGTGTCGTGTTCTAGTAAACACCGTGTGCTAGTAAACATTAGCTACGTACAGGGGTTCTTAAAGATTTGTAATATTTTTTTATGAGAGTGGCCAAACTCAGATTGAAACAAATTATGAGTGAGGAAATCCTATTCCTTCCAGTGACAGCAAAGAGGATGTGGTTCAGTCCTGATTCTCTTGAGACACAATCCTAATGCTTTGAGAAGTCTGTGCTCTGACATGAAGGGTTAAGATGAGCACATTCCCATGAGCTGGCTGGCTTACACTGCCTTTGGTGGGAGACCACAGGAGTAGCTACCTACACGTGTTTTGGAATTTTCCTTCTCGCAGATGGCTGCCTTGCCCGGGGCCAGCCTGCTGAGGCATGTCTGGAGACGAGCTCAAGCACCGACCCTCAGACTCGCAGCGCTCTGAGCCCTATCTGCAGGAGCCCACACGCTGTCCAACACGTTCTCTGCCCAGCATCTGGGACCACGCTGCACAGGGTTTTGCTTCTCAAGTGCACCGTTAAGACGGTTGAGATGCATCCAAAATGATCCAGTTCGCTGTGAAGTGGCTGTATAAAAGAAATATGTGCAAAGAGAAACATCCCCAGAGCCTATTGGTCGCTGCAGAGGGCCTTTGTCTGACCTTGGGCCTCAGGCTCTTCAGGTTAAGAAGGAAATCCAACACTGAACAAGCTGCCCTGCAGATCCATCCATGGAGAAAGAGGTGGAGAAGAAGGATCTTCAAAATCAGCACATCCTGTAAAGAGAAGATGGGATCTGTTAGCTCCCGCTCCCTTCTGAGAAGCAAACCACCTTAAACGGGACAGTTTAAACGAGGAGGAGAGTTGGCCTGTGCCTCCAAAGCTTCCTTCTCCTACCAGCACAGACAGCAGAGTTGGGGCAGGTGCAGGAGCAACCCTATCTCAGTGGATGGAGCAGAATCATGCTGCCTGTACGCAGGAGCGGCTCCAGGGAAGCCTGAGCTCACCCAAGCAGGCTTTTGGACACGCTGCCCGGAGCAGAGCGGTGCTGCGTGTCTGTAAGGGGGGCGTAGAGGATGGTGAGCTGCTGAGGTCTGGCTCCAGGATCAGCAGTGGTCGTCCAGTGTCCTTGGGCAGTTCCTCTCAGCCTTCTGGTGCCCTGTGTTCCTGTCCCCGATGACATGTCCGCTGAGTGGGCCCCAGACTTTAAATAACCATCTGTTCAGTGTCTCACTTTCCACACTGGCAAAATGGAAATGATGATTCAATCTGAGATCTACCGCTGCAAATTAATTGGTACAGATGAGGTATTTATTATTACTGTTACTACCATGGCAAGTGCATTGTCCAAGTCTAAACGCATTTCTTCAGGATTTAGAGCACTATGGGTATAGAAGAGTTCACAGAGTTTGAATGAGATAATGGCTTGAAGTTACTGTGATTTAATGTATTACTGTACTCTGCCTTATTAAACAGTCCAAGAAAATCCTATTATCTGTCACACCAATGCAATTAAAAAATTCCAGCCTAAATATAGTTGGGGTTTGACCACTTGAGATGCTGCCGGCCAGAACTTTAAGGCCTGAACCACTAGGCTCTTATAAACCAGGGATGACCACATAGCTCGGTCCTTTTTCAAACCTATTTCAGCATGTGTCACCACATCTCAGTCATTTTACATGTGAACAAGTAAAATTTTGTCTCAACCTTAGGTCCGAGATTTGCTGATCAGGCATTGAACCAAGGGGCTTTATATACAGGTCACTGAATTTGATCAACAGCTGGTCTTTAAGGGAAGAGATGAAAACATGCACAACTCCGTAATCAAGACCAGATGTTTGTCTAAAAGACAAGCTCCAGCTCAAGCAGGAATTAATTAAGCAAAGTCTTACAAGCTGTTCTATAAGGAAAACAGATGAAAAGATCACAACAAGCCCCTCTGCTTTTTCATTAAAAAAGTATACGATTTAAAACAACTGACCACATTTTGGCTACAAACAGTTCAGTGAAATAAAACCTGCTTTTGGATGCCCCAGTTAAAGATTTACTGGTGCAGACTGTTGGCAGTGAGCACACTTTAGGCAGCACTGGAAAAATGCCAAACCTCTACACTGCATTCACCATGCAGCAGCTCTGAACCAAGCTCTCACTGGTCAAAGGGAAGGCAGAGCCAGGAAATACTTTTGTTTTGGGATCCACAGGATCGCTCACTCTTAAAGATGCCCCTCAGAGGGAAGCAAAATTTTTTCTAGAGTGCTTGTCCCCACGTATATTTGGATCCTCAGGATGTTAACTCCACCACTGCATTTCTTTCAGCAAGTCAAAGACATAAATACATAAAAAGCTTAGGTGGGCAAAATGTTACGCAGGATTCCTAGCAGAGAAAAAGGGGCTGTTTTGGAGCCTTCCCTGCACTTTTAGAATTGTTCTCAGGGTTTAAAGTCCTTCCTATACTTTGGAAATACAGTCAGTCCAGGCAGTCGCAGTCATTTGATGCAAATGCATCGTAGCAGGTATATCCCACACAAGGGACACATCTTAGGTTTGTGCATTGCGTTGTATACTTTTGTCTTTCGATTCTGCAGTTTGGGAAGAATGAAGAATTATTTGGAACACACACTCTGCACACAAGATCGAAGCCTGATACAGTTTACTTTGTATGCTGTGATTTAAGTAGAATGTTACTCCTTAAATGTGGATATACTCTTCTGCACAGCTGCATTTAATATTATATATCATGTAAACTTTTGTCCGTCTGTCTCATGAATACAGGTGACCTGTATCTTCTCTTAGACAGAGACTGATCACGTTTCTATTTTTTGATTGCAAATTCTATGCATGAGGTAAAAGGAAGAAAGAAACATGAAACCACAGCCAAAGAAGAGAAGAAGCTTGACTGTAGCCAAACTCTGCACTCCCTGCAGAGGTCTTAGATTGGTACGTTTGTAACAGAAACTAGTACTGTCAGGGACTAGTCAGGAGAAACAGGCAACTGCAAATGCAAGTCGGCATGGGAGGGGTTCTTTCCCTTCATACCGAGACAGCGTTTCAACTTAACAAATACATTTTAAGGAAAATCTGAGTGAAAAGCTTGCAGAAGTTTATCAAAAAACAAACATCCCAACCTTACATTTCTCTCTCTCTTTGCTGATGTTGTACATTTCCCTTTCCCGGTATTTGTATAATAATTCGAGTAACTCATCCCACTCCTGATCCTACAGACCAAGATTAAAACACCAAAAGAGGGTTTAATCCGTGTTAAGAATTAAACCCACATTTTCTCCGTCTCATGTCTGAATCAGCCCTGTTTGCAGTGAAGCTTCAATCCCAACCCCAAACCAACAGATTCATCTTAAGCCTGAGCCACCAAGATGCTGAGCAGCAGATTTCAAAGCAATTCAGTTCAGCTCCCCTGACACTTCTGGTACCGAACAAGCAAAACCACAGATACAAACCCTGTTTTCCCTGAATGCTTCAAGGCAGAGAGAGAGAGAGAGGGAGAGAGAGAGAGGGGGCAGAGAGTGGACTAAACACATCTGTTTCTTCTCCATTGCTGTTGATCTGATAGCATTTTGGATGTTTGGCAAAAGCTTTGCTAACTTATGGTTGAGTATCCCATTTCATAAGAGGTTTGAGGGAAGGAGGTTACAAGCAGATAACTGCAGCTTTGGAGCATCTTTGTGCACTCTGCACATTATTGTGGATACAGGTGTTTTCCTGAGCAGCAGCAGCAGGATGCCCAAGGTAACCCTTCAGTCCCTGGTACTGCCCTGAGTTTTCTGCTGTAAGTCTTGCTACAGATGCCCGAGGTGTTCGGCAGGGTGCGGAGCAAAGCTGAAGGCATTGTATTTCCTAGTCGTACTTTTTTTTTTTTACTTTTTTTTTTTTTTTTTTTTTTTTTTTTTTTTTTTTTTTTTTTTTAATAGGAAAATTCATCTCTGGTGCAGCATCTGCCTCTTAACAAGGCGATGCCTTGTTTTCCTGCCAACACATCATGAACCTTAAAGACATTTTAATCACGGGAATAGCTTTTCTGCTGCTAGTGACTCATCACTTGGTGCTCAGAACCAAGGGACTCAGTTCAGCTAAAACACAGTACCTGCCCAGTGAAGGCAATCTGATGGATTCAGTTATGGACATACTTGATTACAGGGGCACATTCAAAGCGTATTCCGTATTCTGTGCGATTTCAACTGACGGTTAACTGTAGTATAGAATAAAATCACAAATGTAAATCGAATTGTCAAAACTAAGTAGAAGAAGAGAGGAAAAACATCAAAACGGTCTCGGGGACCAGCACCCTCCGCCCCGGCGGGACAGGTCTTGGCGCAGGGGGAGGCGCAACGCCCAGCGCTGCCCACCGCGGCCCTGCGCCCCCGCGCAGCGGGTGCCTGCGCAGCTGCTTAGAGGCGCGCACGGGGCAGGGGCGACGGCTGCAGCTGGCGGAGTTTCGAGCCCCAGCGCTGCCTGTTCTCGGGGTTCACCCAGAGAGGGGCTCCACCGGGGAGGGGTAAGGCTGAGGCTGCGTCACGCCGAGCCGAGGGCCCGGGGGGACGAACGCGGTTTGGGGGGGTCGGTGGGATTTCACCTGCAGCCTCGGGGCAGCGGGATGGGAAGGGGCCAGGGAGGACAGGGGGGCCAGG